CTGCTGGCCGCTCACGCTGGCTGCTGGCCGCTCACGCTGGCTGCTGACTACACACGGTAGCCCATGGCAACCCACTGCAGCAGGGGCTGCAGCCTATGCGGTCGCCGGCGACTCACGGCAGCCCAGCTCCAGGTTGAGCTGCTGTTCAGCATCTTAGCTGTAGAGGGCAGTGTCACTGGTCCTCATATGTGGGATCCGAACCGGGGTCCTCTGGCGTCCCAAGCCAGCTCTTAACCACCAGGCCACTCGGCCAGCCCTCCAGCTGTCTTTTAGAAAGCAGTGTCTGCATGAGGCCTCCAGCTTGAGTCCCAGCGGTTTGCACCCTCCAGGCAGAGCGTGCCCCCTGCTTGTGTTCAGACAGGGAGTGAGGCCGCATGGGGGCGGGCCTCCTGGGCACATGGTTCCAGCTCTGTGGGGCGGGTGGGGTGGGGCCAACAGGTCCGGACAGAGAAAAGAGGGCCTGACAAGTGTGAGTGTGTGCTGGAAAGTGACGCTGAGTGACTGGCCGAGGCCGGAGGACCCTAGGACCCTGGATCCCAAGACGGGGGAAGGAAAGCCATCTGAAGCGGGACCTTCCCTCCGTCCAGGCAGTCACGCGCGCACTTGAAGTTGGAATAGGCTTTTGGCGTCCTGGGCTGCTGTGCTCAGAACTGTGACAGGGACAGATGTGAGCATCTTAGTGGAGCGTGGTATCAGGAGGTGAGGGGCTGTCCCCGAGGCCTTCCTGCACGCTGGGTCTGGCCTGGGAGCTGCCCTCGGGTAGAAGGCGGGCCTGCCGCTGGGCGGTGGGTTGGCAGCCAGTGGTAGAAGGCTGGCCCTGGAGCAGAGTGGCCAGGCCAGAGCAGACGGCGGTCGGCCTCAGGCGTGCGTGAGGACCACAGGGCCACAGGGCCGGGGCAGACCTTGGGGGCCAGGAAGGGGGGAAGGTGAGGAAGCGCGTAGGGCCTGGGCCGCGCCCGCATTCTGTGTCCAGGAGGTGGGAGACCTCTCCCCATCCTGCGGGCAAGGCGTGTGGCTGCCCTGGTCAGGGCGCCCCTTGCCCTGGCCTGGGACCCCAGCGCTCTGCACGGCGAAGTCTGTGTGCCCTGCAGCTGTGTGTGTGGCCGGCCGTGCGGAGAGCTGGGCTCACCGTGAGGGCTCTCGATTCATTTTCTCAGAGGGAGAACGACGAGGAGATGCGTGCCGCCAAGGAGAAGCTGAAGTACTGGCAGCGGCTGCGGCACGACCTGGAGCGCGCGCGCCTGCTGATCGAGCTCCTGCGCAAGCGCGAGAAGCTCAAGCGGGAACAGGTGTGTCCCCGCGGGCTCCTCCAGGCCGTCCTTGTGGGTGGTGCCGGCTGCGTGGCCGTCTGCCTTGGACTGCAGCTTTACGGAGGGGCGACTCTGACCTCCCTCGTGGAGGAGGCCGCGCGGTGCAGGGGCGGTGTGGTGTCCCCAGTGTGGTGTCCCCGGAGGGCCCTGGGTCAGGGGAAGTGGGAGCCGGGCCGGCATCCGGTGGGAGTTTGGGGGTGCCGTGCCAAGGTGCAGTGTGAGGGTTAAGTAGGAGCTTTTGTTGGCCGTGGCACATGTGGTGTGCTGGGCGTCTGGGAGCCAGAGCAGAAGGTTCCCGAGACTCAGGCGTGCTGTTCCCCAGGTGAAGGTGGAGCAGATGGCGCTGGAGCTGCGGCTGACCCCGCTCACGGTGCTGCTGCGCTCGGTCCTCGACCAGCTGCAGGACAAGGACCCGGCCCGCATATTCGCCCAGCCCGTGAGCCTGGCAGAGGTGGGTGTGCACGTTCATGGCTGCTCTCAGCGGCTCCCTTTATGTGCCCTAGTTCTTTTTAAAATGTGTGTACGTGTGTGTGGACATGTGGGTGTGTGCGTGTGGACACGCACGTGTGTGGACGTGTGTGGGTGTGTGCCTGCCTGTGCGTGTGTGGATGTGTGTGCGTGCATGTGTGGGTGTACTAGCCTCCAACGTGAGGAAGAGCCCTGTGCTGTCACTGAGTGCCTGTCCCCTCCCCAATGCAGGTGCCGGACTACTTGGACCACATCAAGCAGCCCATGGACTTTGCCACCATGAGGAAGCGGTTGGAAGCTCAGGGCTACAGGAGCCTCCCCGAGTTCGAGGAGGACTTCGACCTCATCGTGGACAACTGCATGAGGTACAACGCCAAGGACACAGTGTTCTACCGGGCAGCCGTGCGGCTGCGGGACCAAGGCGGCGTCGTCCTGAGGCAGGCCCGGCGTCAGGTGGACAGCATTGGCTTCGAGGAGGCGTCCGGCGTGCACCTGCCTGAGCGGCCTGCCGCGGCCCCTCGGCGGCCTTTCTCCTGGGAGGATGGTAAGCACGTCCGGCTCTCCCAGGCTCTGCGTCGGCCCCGCCCAGTAGGACGGCGGTGCGAAACTGGGTGACTCGGAGGCTTCTGGTAGCTTCTTGAAGCAAAGGAAGAGAAAGTGAAATTTGTTTTCGTGAAGTACCTTCAACCCAGTATGTCTGCATGTTGTGATTCATAAAAGTTGCTGAGGGTACTTTCCATTGACTACCTGGTGCGTGCTTTACGCTCAGTGCCTCTGTGGAAGCGTGCCTACTTGAGAGACACGTGGCCAGTGCCCGTTGTGGGTCTGCGGGCCTACCCAGTAGAGCCCAGGCAGCAGTATCGTTGGGGACCTGTCCCCAGAGGGGGCGTGGTGACTTCGGGGAAGGCTGTCAGCTGTGTTTGAGGACAGACAGAGTCCAGGCTCTGGGTGGGCCTCCCTCCCACTCGCAGCTCCTGTTGGCACGCCGCCCGCCTCCTGCTTAGCGAGGGCCCATGCTTCTCATACATGTCACAGCTGCCTGCCCGCCTGTCCCCACCCTTGCAGACTGGGGTTGCCCTCCCTGCACTGCGCTCCGGCCACCACGAGACTCCCCGCAGTGAGCAGGGTCTTGGGGGGCCAGGGCCTCTCAGTGTTGGGCTTTGTAGAAAATGACCATGTAGGTCGCCTAGGTAAATTTCTACCCTGAGGTTTTTGCTCAGGACAGAACTAAGGATGAGAAGTCCTAAGTTATTTCTGCCTTGGTATTTGGGCGGGGTCGTGGCTGAGCTGCAGGACCAGGTGTCGTGGTCATCAGTGCCACTCCTTCTCTCCCGCTGAGCCCTTGAGCTCTGCTCAGAGCCAGCGAGGGAGTTGAGGCGTTTCCCTTTGGGGCTGCAGGTGACAGCTGTTGCCGTGAGTGTTTTGGAGCTGGTGTTGTCTATGAAGTTTTGTTAGAATGATGATCTGGACTCAAGCCAGGCCGTTACCTGTCAGGCATTTTCATTTGTTTCCCTGTGCTGATGTTTGCTTCATTGAAAAGACAGGTGCTTTTACTGACATGCTTGTTCCTGGGGAAGGTGATGTCACTCACCCCGCACAGTGTCCGTTGCCCCCACTTTCATCTCGGGTAGCTCTAAGAGCAGCCTTCTTTCTTAGCAGCCTCTTGCTAATTTAAGGTAGTCTGTGCTTCATAAAGGTTCGTATTTTGCTGAAATTTAAAGTGTTGGGGTTTTTTGTAGTAAATATGTCTAAAATTCAGAATTTCCTGTCCCTTCTGCCGCCTGCTTCTAGTCAGCGACCCGGGTCTGGACACTTGCTGCACGACAGCCCTGAGCTGGAGTGTGGGCCTGCGTCAGCGCCGGTCTCGGGGGCTTGGGGACCACAGGGCCTGCTGTGCCCGTGTGCCTGGCTGGCTGAGCTTGCTGACAACCCACGGGGGAAAGGCATGCCCGTTGTGGGTTCCAGCGCTTGTGGCGGCCTGTGTCCCTCGTCCCCTGGCGATGCAGGGGTGGTGGGCCTGGTGGGTTTTCCTGTCTCAACAGGCAGCCCAGTGCTTGATTGATGGATGTATGTTCTTGGCCTTCAGTGGACAGGTTGCTGGACCCGGCCAGCAGGGCCCACATGGGGCTGGAGGAGCAGCTGCGGGAGCTGCTGGACAAGCTGGACCTCACGTGTGCCATGAAGTCCAGCGGGTCAAGGAGCAAGCGGGCCAAGCTGCTGAAGAAGGAGATCGCACTCGTGCGGAGCAAGCTGAGCCAGCGGCACAGCCCGGCCCCGGCCGCGGACTCAGGTATTGGAGGCTTGCAAGAGGAAGGTGCTCAGCTGGGGCCGGAGACGGGGGACGAAGGTAAGCCCAGCGCCTGCCCGGACTCACGCTCATGTGCTCCCACAACGCCCGTCCCCTCGGTGCCATCTGGGCTGCAGTCTGGCACTTACATAGTTAGTTACAGCTTAAGGCACAAAAGAGGATGTTCTTTCTCAGCCGTGTCCTGAAAAACTACTTGCAAAGGATGGTTTCTGTTCCTGCAGAGTGGCTGGGGAGTGGTGGTGGCTGTGTGACAGGAGTAGTGACTATCTGTGTTGTGTCACTTCAGTTTAGGAGCGTAGTTTCATTGTGCACTGGATTATCAGATGCAGCTTGGTGAAAAGGCCTTGAAAACCACGCCCAATTACACGCCCCTCCCTGAAGCTCTGAAGGGTGGGTGGTGACCTGGGCGTCCCGTCACTGCGGAACATACAGCCCCCCAGAGGCAGCCCTGTCTCAGCAGCATTCTCGCACTCTGGTGCACCTGCCTGGGAGGACAGCGAGGCAGCAGGGGTGTATCTATTGACGGGAAATAACACAGACAGGAAGAAACCCATGTACCTACCCAGCAGGAGCGATCATAGTGTTCCCGGGTGGGTGGTTACAGGTGGGCCTTGCTTCGGGAGACGCTCAGCTGGGAACTTGAACTGTGGGAGCAGGTATGACTCGGCAGGAGCTACACCCCCTTTTTTTGCCCTCTGTGTTCCCCATTTTAGAGTCGGCACATTTCAGTTACACAGAAAGAAAGTGCCGGCAGACTCCCCCTTACCACAGCCGGTAGCAGTTGAGTTTATATTCTTTCCAAGTGTTTTAAAACAGGACACACAGTGTCCTGCAGTTGGCTTATGAGAAAGCTTCCGTCTGCCTGGACATGTTATTAGCCGCAGGGCCTGTGGTGTCCTGGTCACGACCCCGCGGTGTTTCTTGTGCACTGCACTCCGCCAGCCCTGTTAGTAAGTGCTGGCCATGAGTGGTGAGTCCTTGAGTGTTCACACGGTTTCTGTGGCTCACAGCTCCCATGTCCTGCTGCCTGAGTACTGGAGCCCTCAAGGTTCTCTCTCAGAAAACGACCTCCTGTGTGCGGCTGAGTCGTTCATGAGCCTCTGCCTCACTCTGCCTGGTTTTGTTTCAGCTAGTGACCCGGCAGCTCAGGTGGCCCCAGCATGAGATGCAGCTCTAGAACCCGTCCTGTGGGTGATGCACACACCCTCGGTTCCGGAGCACAGTAGAAGCTTCATTTCCCAATACCCTTCCCTGTCTGGAGGGTTCACTTCTCAGGAGCACTTGCTCCCAGGGACCTCTGACAGCTGGCGTATCTGGGGTCCAGACTGCCCCCCTTTTTGTATCTAGTGGGTCCTTGGAGTCCAGGGTGGCCCCACGTTGTTAGGCCCGTTGCATCCCTGGTGGGGGAGGGCCCTGCGACATGGCAGGGCCTGTAGGGTGGGGGTCAGTGTGGGCCCTGCACTGTCCTCCCAGCCGGCCTCCTTCCTGCTGCCCGAGTTCACTTTGGCCAGGCTGATCAATTTCTCTTTTGGAATACCACTCTTTGTGTGTTATTTGCCCTGAAAAGAGTGAGTTGGGGAGAAAGCTTGTCAACAGCTGATTCACCGTCATTCGAAGAGCTTCTTGCCCAGTCCTGGTCTTCTCACTGCAGAGAGCCGGTTGTGACCTTTCGTGTTCCTTTGTCAAGGGCTCCCTCCCTGGTATCGAGGTCCCCATGGGAGGAGCACCTAGAAGCCTCACCTGCCAGGCGGGAGCCCCCCAGTTAGGCCCGGTCCCTCTGAAGACCACCTTTGCTACTGTGTAGCACTGGGGTCATTTTAAAGGAAGCAACAAAGTGAGATCTGAGACAAAAGATGGGCTGGAATTGCTTGTAGACTGTTAGGCCCTTTGCTAAAAGTGACCAAGTCACAAAAGGGGCGTTTCACTTTCAGCTGATAGGAAGGGGGATGGGAGGAGCAAACAGTCTTCAAGTCCATTTGGGGGCTTCGGGAGGGAGGACCCTCCAGACAGACCCTGGGGTTTATATCTAATTACATAAGTGTTGCTGAAGATAGCCAAAATCAGACATTCGTGTCTCTGTAGAAATGTGAACTCAGGAGCTTTATAATGGGACAGAAACCAAGAATTTTATAAAAGTCAAGGATCCATAACTATAATATTATCACACCTGAAACAGTAACAATTCCTTAATGTGAAGAATACAGTCCGCCTTAGTTTAACATTTATATGGTTTTCATTTGAAGAAACTTGAACAGGGAAGTTGGGGCAGGTGCCAGGCCCGCTGAGACGCTCGGGTCTGAAGGTGGGGCGGTCTCCTGGGTTGGGTCCCCCAGGGCGTTCCTGATTGAGCTCCTGGAGTTGGGGAGACTTGGGCGTGGGCTCAGCAGCAGGCCCGTCGTCGTCCAGCACGCACACTCCGCAGGTTGGGGTTGTTGGTGACAGTGGAGTTGGGTGAGGCTCCGAGCTGGAAGTGGAGTCACATGGCCCACGTGAGCCCGTGTGTGCAGCCAGCAGCGCCTATGGTCCCCGGAGGGTGTCAGTGGACTGGGTGCAGCACAGTGAGGACCGTGGCTTTGGGAGAAGCGAGCTGTGGGGTGGATGGGCTTCCACTTCCGGTCATTGGGCGTGGCCGTTTGTTGAGTCAGGCCTCACTGCTTCAGGGCTGAGCTGTCCCGCTTGACCGCGGGGTTGCAGGGTGCTGGGTCCCGCTCTGTGCACGCCCTGCCGCAGCGTTGTGAGGCCCCTGTCGTGTTGGCAGAGGATTTTCATGTGGTGAATTGTACACATGTGAGCTTCCCCCTTTTCGGAATTTGGCAGTGGCAGGACAGTGCGCTGGGTGGAAATGGCCTATGCATCCCTGTGGTTTCCCCAAGCTTTTTGTGGCTTTGCTGTGGAAGCGTTTGTTGGGCATAGTTGGCGGCCAGGTGTGGAGTGTTGCAGAGCTGTCGTTGCACACTTCAGGGCGGTTCAGTCCCCGGGAATAGCTGCTTTAGTCAGGCAACCCGAGAGGGAGGCCTTGTGGCCGTCTCGTAGATGTGACACGTTCGGTGCATGGACTGTCAGATGCTGAGTCCTGTATTCACAGGCGCTGAGACCCTACGTCAGGTCACGTAGTCTGTTCTAGAAGTTGACAACATGAACTTCTTACGGCGCAGTTACATTGCACGTAGTTATTAGCGGGCAGTGACTTTCTAAAAGAACTTTCACACGTGTATGCTGACTTCCAGTGAGGTCCCCACTCGGGGTCCCGATGGGGCACCTGCTCTGTCGGTGACAGGCTACGGTGCAGTCGCGGGCTCCAGGACAGGTGTTTCCTCTAGGGATGAGGAAACTGAGGCCGTGTGGGCCCCACACCGGGTCACCTGAGCGCCTCTGCTCTTGACCATGCCCTTCGCATGCCCGCCCACCCCCGTAACGCTCAGCAGCCTGTCTCCGAGTTGCCCTGTCGGTGGGTGCGTAGTGACCGCAGAGCAGGTCGCTAGGTGAGCAAACTCAGGCCACCTTTGGCTAGAAGGAGGGGTCGGGCGACCCCTCTGGTGGGGTCCGCGTGCGACCTTTGACCTTTGCGTCTGGTGTGGGGCTCATACCAGGGAAGAGCCTGTGTGGGGGCTAAGTGACAGGCGGGAGAGGAGAGCGGTGGACCGTGGAGGTTGGGGCCTCCTGTATCTGGGCACCTGGTGGGCTGCTGCCCCCAGGGGTGGCTGAGCGGAGTAGGGTCAGAATGCAAGTGGGGTGCTGGGGATGGCACGTGAGGGAGGGGGCAGGCGGAGGCCCCTCAGGCTCCAGTGGGCGGTGCCCCATGCCGCCCGGCGCCCCGCCAGGGCTGACGCAGATGCCTGCAGGGGCTGCAGGGCCTGCAGGGCCGCTCTTTCTGTGTGATGGTCAGGCGCCTGATGTGGGGCCCCCAGGGTGCCGGCGCCTGCGCGGTGCATAGGAGGTAGGGAGTGAGCCGGGGCATGCGCTCAGCGTAGCCTCGCCCCTGGTGTGCATGTGCCATGGCACGTGCGCAGCTCAGTTGTTAGCAGGAAGCTCCACAGGAACTGCCCATCCCAGCTTCCACCTGGTCCGTGGCTCCATGTGTTTTGAACATGCTGTTTCCCGAAATCTGTTGGTGGCCCTTAACGGTGGGTGGGCAGGATCTCATCAGCAGCCCACGTGTTGGTCAGCATGGCTGGTGATCTAGCACTTGTACGTGAATAATGTCACAGTGTCCCCACCCGGGTGCTGGTGTGTCCAGCAGCTGCTGCATGCACTGGGTGGGTGGGTGTCCCATCTAAAAATAGCTTTATGAGAGCTTTGTCTTTGGAAGCACTCTCCCTCCGTATCTGAGCCACCTGTGAGGTTCTCTGACAAGCTTGGGTAGCGTTTGAATGCCAAGTCACCTTGCAGGCATAGCCGCCCCCACCGCCGGCTGAGGCCAGGGCATGGCTGTCTCCGAGATGAGCAGGACCCTCCTCTCGCGTCCCAGCTCTGGCGGACATGGGCAGGCTAGTTATGTGGCTTTCCATTTCCAGAGTCAACTGAGTCCAAGTGTTAACCTCACATCTTTCAAGTGGTTTTGGGGACCTGCTTGCAGGTTTAATAAGAGGAAAACTACCTGGTGAGAATAAATGCTAGTTAGGCTCATTAGTGGTCTTCTCGGCTGTAGATCTCGGCCCTGTTGCCAGAGTAGTCTTGCCCAGAAAGACACCGCATGCTCATCTGCCGGTGACCTCGCTCCCGCAGTCCCTCAGACCGGCCTCTTGGGCTCAGGCTGAGGCTTGGCACCGTGTGGTTTTCAGACTACTCGTTTTTACGTTAGGAAATCTTTGAAAGCCTTTTTTAAGAGGTTAAAATAGTCTTCTTCCAAAGATTGTTTTTATTTTTAAAGCCAGATTGAAAAAAGCTTACATCATAGCATTTCAGAATGAGGCGTGGAAGTCAGTGTGCTTCTCGACAGACAGTGTGGTCACAGCCCTCATGCAGTCGTCTCTGGCATCGCCTTCGGGAGCCCCTGGTTAGAAACAGGGTGTGGGTGTGTTTGCTTTTGTGTGCTGACCTCTGGCCCAGGTCAGCACTGTGTGGGAACGCCCGGCTAGACCCTTAGTTATGTGAAATATTGTTTTCTTCCTCAAGGTAAGTGAACTGTTGATTGAGAAATTGTCATGAACTCGATGTATTTAATGTTGGCATATGTGAAATACTGTTTCACAGTTGTTTGCAGAGAGGAACGTTATATCGCTGGGCACCTGGACCCAGGGCACCAGGGCACCTCAGTCTGGGGTTAGGGACACGCACACAGTGTGACCTGTGGGCCCTGAGCCCCGGCCGCGGAGGCCCCCACTGCAAGCAGACAGTTATTGTGATGCTTTGTTTCCTTAATTTAATTAGTATTTTGGTGGACTTCACATTTATAGTAAGTTTTATAATAGATTTTATAATTATCAGTTTTCAAAAATCACTTTATTTATAATTTTTTCAGGAGATAAATCTCCCCCTAAACTTGAACCATCAGATGCATTACCTCTTCCTTCAAACTCGGAGCCTAATTCAGAACCACCAACCCTCAGACCAGTAGAACTCAACCCAGAGCAGAGTAAACTATTCAAAAGAGTCACATTTGGTAATGAGTCACATAGCGCTCGCGCTCAGAGCGCGCTGGTAATCGGACACCCTGCACAGCCCACCCGCACCCGCACGGGCGATGCGCCAGCGGCGGCCTCCGCGGGGGCGGAGCCTTCGAGCGATGTAAACAGACGCACCTCTGTTCTCTTCTGCAAATCGAAAAGTGTAAGCCCCCCAAAGTCTGCCAAGAACACTGAAACCCAGCCAACTTCTCCTCAGCTAGGGACCAAAACCTTTTTGTCTGTAGTCCTTCCGAGGTTGGAGACTCTTCTGCAGCCAAGAAAAAGGTCGCGGAGCACCTGTGGAGACTCCGAGGTGGAGGAGGGGTCCCCCGGAAAGCGCCTGGACACAGGTAAATACTACGCCTGTGTGCCTTCTCTTCTCCTGCAGGGGCTGCTGTGGTCGCGGGGCCGCCACCCGTTGTCTTTCGCCGCGTATTGTCCGCCATTGTCTTACTTTCCAGATGAGAAGACGGGCGGCGCAGTTTCTCTTTGAAAAGCCCTAGATTGTAGGTCTGAGGGGCGCCCTTTGGGGCGGCCTGACTTGGTGGTCCTGCTCGTCTTGTCTTCTGAGCTTTTACACCCACAGGGGCTCTGGAGTGTGATGGACACCATGGGGCTCTAGTCTGCAGCATGCCAGGCGCCCCTTTCTGAAGACACTGTGGGCGCTGGGCCCTGGGAACCGGTCCTGTGCTTGGGCCGCCCGGTTGACTGAAGAACTTTCTGGTGTTTTCTCACTGTTCTGTGTGGCTTTGTTACATGCACGGTCGGTTACCATTTCCCGCTAAAGAAACACGTGAATGTCTCTCTCGTTTACCACTAAGCTTTTATGGCTCTAACTAGTGTCCTTGGCCTAGAGGCTCCCGAATGTGCCTTCCGCCACCTGCGTTCAGAGGCGCCCACTGTGCCTGGGCTGCAGGAATCGCCTTGGTCCTCAGCCTGCAGACCGAAGTCCAGGACTGTTTGTGTTGGTGACACTGGCAGGGCTGTTGGTCATCGCGTGTGGCTCAGCATTGGCTGTGCCTCTGGGACTGCCGGGTTCTGTCTCGGACACCTCCGGAGGTGTGTTTGAACATGTCTGTCCTGCGAGTTCTTGTCTTGGGCCAAAGCCTGGCTTGTGTTTCTTACTGGTCCCTCTGTTCCATCTGCACAAGGAGAAGTGCGCTGTCGTCTTCTAGCCACCCTGGTGTTGGGGCGTTTCCCATCTCAGCCGTGAGGACGTGAGGCTGGGTGGCAGTGAGCCTGGCCGAGTCCTGGGACCCTGGTCAAGCAGGGTTAGGTGGTGGGTGGAGGCCTCGGCTGTCCACCCCCGTCCACGGCGCGGCTGGTGTCCCCGTAGAGGAGGCTCCGGGCTCTTCACTCCGAGGCCCATTCCTACACTTCACCAAGCAGTTCAAGTTCATTCTCTTCGTTGCCAGTGATTCCTTGTAATTTCATTTGGGAAACTTCATGTGGGGAACTTTTGCACATCTAATTTTATAGAAGTTCTTCACCTATGTCCTTTTGATCTGTTGATATCAAATTGGAGTATAATAATTTATGAAAGCCACTTTTGTGTCTTAAGTTAATTCAGAGCTTCCTCAGCGTTTCAGGGTTAGATGAAGACGTAGGCGGGGCCTTCTCCAGTTCTCTGAACTTGCCTTCACTGCACTGGGGCCTTTCTTAGCCCGATTCAGCGGGGCTTGTCTTCTGAGTGTTGTGATGCGTCCTCACGGTTAGCAGTGGGCAGTATGTTTTGGGCATCAGAGCGGCTCTGCTCCCTGGTCGGGGGCGCCCACCCATGCCAGAGCCTCCGAGCGCCCTGTCCGCAGCTCGTGTCACCTAACTGTGGGCTTCCGACTGTCGGTGCGGTTCCACCAACCTGGCGGTCGTGGCTTTCAGGGCCCCTTGCCCTCACCAGACTTCCCTTGTAGGAAGTGACGTGGCTGTTCTCCCGCTCTTCGCGTCTGTGCGTACAGTTTGCAGGCGGCGATGGTGCGCGTCTTGGAGGTGAGCTGCGCAGGCCTCGGATGCGGACGTGCTGGGAGCTGTGCTTGCGCCGTGACCCTGACTGAAACGCAGGTCTTTGCTTTCTTATTCCAGAGTGACAGTAGAGTCAGCGGATGGCGCTGAGGCCTTGCAGTGCTGCGTGGCCGGGAGCCTTAGTAGCGCTTGGGCAGAGCCCCGGCCGGCTGATGTTGCCCCGCCTCCGTTTCTGGCTTTGCCTCCTGAGCCTGCGGCTGTGCGCGCCTGGACCTCTCGCTCGGAGTTGCAGCCTTCGCGGTCTGAGGACGGGAAGTACTCTGAGCTCCCGGTCGCCCCGGCCATGCTGCCTCGTAGGGCCTGTCTGGCGCCCCGCCGCGCGCTGCCCCGTGTCCAAGTTAGAGTACAAGCACATGCCCTCTGAGGCCTGCGCCCTCTGCCAGGCGTGCGCTGCTGCCCGGCCTCCAGGACGGTCAGCGCCCGGCCCTGTTCCTCCGGCTCTAATGTCTCGCGGAGCCGCACTGTCTCCTGGCATCCTTCTCCTGTGCCCGCTAATCTATTAACCGCGATGAACACTCAGGCTGGAGCTTCTGCGTTTTTGTCTCCCCTCTGGCCACTCCTGCTGCGTGGTCCCTGTGCACCTGCGGGATGTGAGTGGGGACAGAGGGAGCCCTGTGTCCTTGCTGGTCTGCCGGCGCCTCAGTCACACTAAACGGCTTTTTCGCTGTTTTGCAGGCTCTCATTGTAACTACTAACATGCTGGGCAGCTCGCTCTTTGGACCCTGATCTTTTTCTCCTACTCAGCTTGGATCGGAGCTCTGCTGAGTGGCCCTTTGGGGGTGCAGGGACCACTGCCTCTGCTTTTACATAGTTCTTTTGGATGACAGAGCGTCAGTTCAGCCATCTTCCAAACACACAGCAGCACGTGGAGGAGACCTGTCCCCCTGTAGTCAGAGCCAGACGCCCCAGGAGGAACCCTGGGCCCCCCCCCTTGGCCCTCCCTGTGGATAGACAGCCTCCTGCCTCCACAGACTTTCGTGGACAGGTTCTGACCCCGCCTCCGCCAGGCACAGAACTGGGCCTGAAGTGACAGGTTTCTGGAAGGAACTCGGCTCGCTCCTCGCGCAGCTGGACGACTGGCGCAAACACCAGACTCTCCCTCCGCTTTTCGCATCTGCATCCTGGCCTCTGCCTGGCCTCCCTTTCTTCACTTCTCCCCTTTGTCTCCTGGTCGTCCCCATCGGTCATGGGGCAGGGCAGCTTTGTCTCTGGTCACCACACCAGTTCCTGCTCCCAGGAGTGGGAGTCTTGCCTGCAGGCTGTGAGGCATCTGTGTGCCTCCTTGCTGCCTCTGTCTTCGTGGAACTGGTCTAGGCTCACACAGAGTGGCTGGGGTCTTATTTGCTGTGTTTTTATTTATTTTTTAAAGATTTTCATTGGGGAATCAGGGAAGGGGAACAGACAAGTTGCTGTCCTTTTGTTCTTCAGTCTAGTTGTGGAGGACGTTGCTTCACTGGCCCATGTTGGTATTATCATTGTGCTCTTCCCGGGTGAGGCAGTCGCCCGTCGGCCATTGGGTGGTTGCTCATGGTGGTTCACGGCAGCTCACACCTGCTGCCGGCCTCTCACGCTCGCTGCCAGCCACAGCCACTCATGGTAGCTCACCGCAGCCCACTGCAGCAGGGGCTGCAGCCTACGCTGTCGCCGGCGACTCACAGCAGCCCAGCTCCAGGTTGAGCTGTTGTCCACCCTCCCAGCCGTAGAAGGCAGTGTCACTGGCCCCCATGTGGGATCCGAACCGGGGCCCTGCTGCTCAGAGCTGGCGTCCCAAGCCAATTCATAACCAACGCACCACTCTGCCGGTCCTGCTGTGTTTTTATTGAAAGGTTGAAAAACAGAATGCAATTCAGTTGCCAATAGTAAAAATAAAAACATGTAAACAAACTAATAGGCACGCCCGCCGCTCTCAGAGGCTGAGTGCAGTGCGGTTGCTGTGCCCGGCCACCCCTGAAGCTGGTCCCATCACACCCTGTGCCGTCATGTTCAGGGCAAGCACCTGTGTCCACATCATGTGGCCCGCGTGGATGGCAGTGAGTGCAGCCCACTCTGCTTTGTCTCTTGCCGGGCTGCCGTCCAGAAGGTTCTTCATGGCCCTGGGAGGCATGGTGGGTGTGGACCTCGGCTGCCACACCTGTGGGAGCATTGGGGGCTTCTCGCCGCCTGGCAGTGCGGGCTGTTAAGAGTGGAGGGCCAGCCTGAGCAAGCTTTCTCTAAAGATTGGCCGGAGCCACTGCTGACGGGCATGTCATCTGCAGACAGCTCAGGTGTGATGTGGAAGGGGGCTGGGCTGGGTCGCGTCTCAACAGAGAAGGCAGTCTTTGCATTTGCCCCCTGAGAAGCATTGGCATGCCCTGACAGAGTGCCCTGGGGACGCAGCTTCCGTGTTGGAGAGCTGTGCCCTTTTCCTGGGAGCTGCCTTGTCTTGGCATAGCGTGTCGACGTCATCGTCAGCGTCTGCACAGCATCTCGTGTTGGAACAGTTGCTGAGAGGACGCTTTGCTGGATGCAGGGCTCTGGTGCAGTTGGTGGCCACCTGCTGTTTGTGGGTGGCCCACGGGCCCATTTCTGCAGACCTCCAGAACCTGCCCGACCGAGTGTCATTTCATGTCCTTGCAGGGTCTCCAAGGTGGCTTGGCTTGGTGGGCTTCCTGAGCTACAACTGGCAGGATGGGTTTGCACAGGCGCCCTCCCCTCCCCCCACCTGCCACCACCACTGAGGAGGGTCTGAGGGCCGGGCGGCCCCTCAGCACTGCTTTTGTGGGCCCTGCTCTGGCCACAGCAGCCTCGGCAACAGGGTGTCTGCGGTGCCTGCCACTTAGCAGGTGCTCAGTGACATTTCAGGAGTAACACGTGAGAAACTGTGTAGGTGAATATCTGTCACCTTGGCTGTGTGTGTTCTCTAACTTGGTCCTTAGATGGAAAGGAGATGTAATCATTCTGTCGTTTCTCAGATGGAGGCTTCCCCACATCTGATCTTTTCTCCTTAGTGTCATCTGGTTGGTGGTGTCCCTAAGCACATGGTTGCCTAGTGGATGTCATGAATGCAGCCTCATTCTGCCCTCTGGGTGCCGGGTCTCCCTTGTCCCCCACACTGCACTGCCCTCAGTCACTCTTCGCCAGGCGGCTCTGGAGGCTCTGCCTGCTCTTCTCTTGCTGTCCCCAGTGGCTGCCACCTGCTGGAGGGACTGACTGCAGACGCCGACCCCACGTGTCCCTCGCTCAAGCGCAGCCCAGGTGCCACTGGATACCTGTCACAGGTGGCAGGACTCGCCCATCACTTTTCAGAGTCGCCTTGCCTGGGCCCAGCAGGCTCTTGCTGTGCCTGGAAAGGTGCACAGTCAGCTCCTTTGCAGGGAGGAGCGAAGATGTGACCCGGAGGTCCTGGGGCATTAGGTGCGTGGCGAGCCATTGTGAATCGCGGCGCCTCAGCTCCACGTTGAGTCTGCATGGAGTGGCTTCGTGGCTGCATGCCCTTGTCACCCAGACTATTGCCATAGGGTGTGTCGGGACCTGGGCTTCCCCTGAGGGCACATGTGGCGGCCCCGCATGTGTGCTGGGCCCGGGTGTGCATCTGCGTGACTGTGGACCCTTCTCTCAGAATCGGATCCTGCATACTGGGCTCTTTCCGTCTGTCTGTCCGGGCTGGGCGAGCTGTCTCTGACTAGCCTGACTCAGAGTTGGGGGTTGCTCTGCTCTTGGGGGATCCCAGTGTGCCCATACAATGCCTTCTGCGCCCTCTTGAGAACTGTTGCCCTGGGGACCCTGGGCGTTGAGATGCAGGGCCTGTCCCTTTGCTCCCTCTGCTTCCCCGAGCTGCTGGCGAGTGGGGCTGGAGCCGGTTCTTTTGTTCAGGGGATGAGGAGACACTGGCTTTTTCACCATGGTTTGGTAGACGCTGACAGATGGCCAGACCAGGGGTCGGCAAACTGCGGCTCGCAAGCCAACATGCGGCTCTTTGGGTACTTTCAGTCTCAAAATTGTTTGCCGACCCCTGGAAGAGTCAATCCTGTCCCTCACAACAATTTAAAAATTATTTGCGAGCCATAAATGTATTTTTACATAATCATTATGTGAATAATACCCTTTAAAAATTTTATAAATGAAACTGATAGTTTTATTTTCATTTTCAATTTTACTTCAGAGCCTGTGGCTCGCAAGCCGCAGTTTGCTGACCCCTGGCAGCTCTTCCGTCTGAAAAGTTTGCCGACCCCTGGTCCAGACCATGAGATGAGCGTAACACCCCCACTGTCTGTGGTTCCTGCTTATAAATATGAGTTCTAAAATTAAAAATACTGACTTTTCTTAAAGCCAGTGGTGGTAAGTCCAACAGAAATGGAGTGAGACATCTAATGAATTTACTTAAGAAAAATGTGTGGCTTCGGTCTGTTCAGGGAGCAGCAAAACCTGTTCAGTTTCTGCGCATTTTTATTTCTTAGTTGCCATCAAGGTTTATTAATTTCCCTCATTTAAAAGGAAGTTGTACTCGCTGAGAAAATAGAGAAAGGTAATACAGATATGCTTCGGGCACTGTGGGCCCAGTCCCAGACCACTGCAGTGAAGCAGACGTTGCAGTCACGCATGTTTCGATTTCCCAGTGCATGTATGCATGTAAGCGGTACGTTTCCACTACGCTGTAGTCCGTTAGCCGTGTGGTAACCGCGTTGTGTAAAACAATGTACACATCTTCATGAAAAGATACTTTATTGCTAAAAAAATGATGACCGTGATCTGAGAGCCTTCTTCGAGTCGCCATCTTCCTGCTGATGGAGGAGGGTCGGCCTCGATGCTGGAGGCTGCTGGCTGGTCAGGGTGGTGGCTGCTGAAGGCCACCCCGGTCGTGGCAGTTTCTTAAAATAAGAAACCATGAAGTTGTGCCACGTTGACGGACTGTTCCTTTCACTGCCGATCTCTCTGTAGCGTGCGATGCTGGTTGACAGCGTTTTACCCACCGCAGGGCTTCTGTCAGCATCGGAGTCAGCCCTCGCCGGCCCTGCCGCTGCTTTCTCAGCTAAGTGATGTAATAGTCTAAGCCCTTTGTTGTCATTTCAACAACCTTCACAGCATCTTCACCAGGAGCAGGTTCCATCTCCTGCTCATCCTAAGGAGCAGCTCCTTCTCCGTCCAAGTTCTCTCATGAGGTTGCAGCAGTTCAGTCGCCTGCAGGCCCGCTTCCAGTTCTAGTTCTTCTGCTGTTTCCACCACGTCTGCAGTGACATCCTCCACTGAAGTCATGAACCCTCAAAGTCACCCATGCGGTCAGAATCCTCTTCTTCAAGCTCCTGCTCATGTTTGGACTTCTTCCATGAGTCACAAGTGTTCGTAATGTCATCTAGAATGGTGACTCCTTTCTGGGTGGTTTTCAGTTCACTTTGCCCCAGTTTGCCCGAATCCATCAGGAATCACTGTCTATGGCAGCTGTGGCCTTACGGAATACTCCTTCAATAATACGACTCGAAAGTCAGAGTGGCTCCTGTTTCGTGGGCTGCAGAATGGATGCTGTGTTAGTGGGCCCGACAGCACTAAGTTTGCGTCCGTCTCTATCCGAGCGCTTGGCTGACCAGGTGCATCGTCACTGAGCAGCCATATTTTGAAAGGAGTCTTTTATTCTGAGCAGTAGGTTTCAACTGTAGAGTAAGCAGACTCGGTAAACCACGCTGGAAACAGATGTGCTGCCATCCAGGCTTTGTGGTTCCATTTTTAGAGTGCAGGCAGTGTCGATATAACATAATTCCTAAGGGCCCTGGGGTTTTCAGGACGGCAAGTGACCTCTGGCTTCAACTTAATGTCACCCCGTGCACACGCCCCTGGCAGGGGAGTCGGCCTGTCCTCTGAAGCTTTGAACCCAGGCACTGACTCTCCTCTCTGGTCATGAAAGTCCCAGATGGCACCTTCTTCCGATATAGGGCTGTTTGTCTGCGTTGAAAACCTGTGGTTTAGTGCAGCCGCCTGCGTGAGTTCTCTTACTTGACCTTCCAGATAACTTGGTGCTTTACCTTACATGTTGATGTTATGGAGACGGCTTCTCTCCTTAAACCTCATGAGCCAACCTCTGCTGGCTACAAACTTCTCTTCAGCAGCTTCCTCAGCTCCCAGCCTTCATAGACCTGAAGAGAGTCTGGGCCTTGCTCTGGAGTAGGCTTTGGCTCAGGGAACGTGCTGGCTGGTTTGAGCGTCTGTCCAGACCACTAACACTGTCTCCACGTCAGCAACAGGCCATCTTGTTTTCTTATCACTCGTGTCCTCCCATCAGTCCAGCTCATTGGAGTAGCTATTAATTTCCTTCAAGAACTTTCCCTTGTGTTCTCAACTTGGCTGTTCGGTGCAAGAGGCCTCGCGTTCCCCTATCTCGGCATCTCGGCTTCCCATGTGCCTTCCTCACTGAGCTTAGCCGTTTCTCGCTTTTGACTTCAAGTGAGAGACATCGACTCTCCCTTTCCCGTGAACACTGGGTTAGTCACTGGCCTCATTTCAGTGTTGTCGTGTTTCCAGGATCAGGAAGGATGAAGGAGGGAGACGGGGAACGGCCGGTCAGTGGAGCAGCCAGAACACACAGCATTTATCCGTTGAGCTTCCCGCCTTACATGGGTGCGGTGTGTGGCACCGCAAACAGTTACAGTAGTAGCATCCAGGATCACTGACAATTAACGATATAATATTAAAAAGGTTTGAAATATTGTGAGAATTACCAAAACATGACACAGATACAAAATGATCACAGGTTGCTGGAAAAATGGTGCTGATAGATGTGCTGGACGCAGGGTTGCCACAACCCTCTCAAAAAACCTTCAATTTGGAAAAAACGCAGTATCTGCGGAGTGAGATATGGTGTGCCTGTAAAGCAGGTGAAAGAGCCCTTCAGCCTGGCCACCCACTTCAAAAAAATTTTAAAGAAAGAGGTTTTAATTTTTTTTTTCCTAAGATTTTTTTTTATTATTGGGGAGTTGGGGAAGGGGAACAGACAAGTTGCTGTCCTTTAGTTCTTCAGTCTAGTTGTGGAGGATGTCGCTTCACTGGCCCAAGTTGGTATTGTGATCACTGCGTTCTTCTCAGGTGAGGCATTCGGTCGCCGGCCACTGGACAGCCACTCACGCTGGCTGCTGGCCGCTCGCACTGGCTGCCGTCGCTGGCAACTCAGGGCAGCCCAGCTCCAGGTCGAGCTGTTGTTCATCGTCTTAGCTGTAGAGGGCACAGCGTCACTGGCCCTCATGTGGGATCCGAACCAGGGCCCTGCTGCTCAGAGCTGGCATCCCAAGCCAACTCCTAACCAACGAGCCACTCGGCCGGCCCTGGGTTTTAATTTTTTAAACATGTGGAATGGGATTCTTTTTTGGGAAAAAATAAACACTCACACCTCCAGCTGTCACACCGGTACGAGCCAGGCTGGGCCCCACGGCGGTGGACGTGGGCTGTGCTCACCTCTGCGAGCGGGGTGTCTGCACCCAGTTTCCTGCAGTTCTGATGTCGGTGGGAGGGACTTTGGACAGCCTGCCTTCTCTGTTGATGGGCACAAAGTCAAGCTCTTCTGGAGGGGGCAGTGGTTCGGTTTCGAGATTTGCCTTGACTGAGACACTCGTCAAAGACTGAGGTGACGCGGTGGCATTTTGTTGGGCTGCTTGGGGCTCTGAGTGCGGTGAACCCAGCCCACGGCTCCTCCCCATGACTTGGTGACAGTGGGCCTGCATGCCGCTGGACAGGGTGTCTTGTTGCTTCTGTTTGAAAGTGTTTCATAGTGTCTTTTCGGTTCTTGTCAATACTTTGCTTTTCAAAGGCTTTTCTTAAACTAAGACTTTCTGTTCCCACTTGAAGCCCCACTGTGCACAGGCACTCTTGGTGGTATCAGTCCTTAGCAGGGTGGCACCACCTGCCCTGGACGGGCCTCATGCATTCCGGCTCGTCCCTGGCGTGGCCTGGAGGGACAGGTATGTGGAACCCACCCACTGGGGACGGCTGATGGGTGCAGCCTGTGGGACATTTTGTCCTTTTTCGGAAGAGCTAAAGCGTCGTCTTTACACTGGTGTTCCCTGAACTAGCTTAATTTGAACTTACTGTAAACTCGCTCTGCAAGTGCGCGTGTGGCTCCTGTGTCGTCGGCCCTGTGCTGGGCACTGGGGGCTTGGGGTCCAGAAACTGCGATGGCATCTGACCGCGCGTACGGGCGCAGAGAGGACCATCGCTCTGGCCAGCGACCTCAGGCGCCTGTGTGTCTGTTGCAGGTCTCACCAATGGCTTTGGGGGTGTGAGCAGTGAGCAGGAGCTGGACAGTGCCCCAGGCCGGAAGGCCACACCTCGGCGTCGCTGTGTCTCCGAGTCCAGTATCTGCTCCATCAGCAGCCCACTTTGTGATGCCAGGTGGGTGCCCACTTGTCCCCCCACTGGCCCTTGGCAGCCCCGGGCCAGGTGCGGCCTGACCTGGGGGTATTTCCTGTATGTCCCGTGTTGATCTGTTTTGTAGAATTTAACTGGAAATGGGAAACTACATGAAAACGAATACAGCTTTTGAATGTGTAGTTGGTTTACACTTTGCCCCCCCCCCCCAAAGTCTTGCCTTCACTGACGGGGTGGCAAGCACAGGGCTGCCCTCTGCACCATGCAGGCCACTCTGTGCCCGGGGTCCCCCTTCCTGGGCTTGTGAGGCACAGCCTGCTCCCACGGGCGGAACCGCAGGGACAGGCCGCTTCTGACACTGTGCTGTTCCCCCTGAAGCTTTAGTGCTCCCAAGTGTGGCCGTGGCAAGCCCGCGCTGGTTCGCAGGCACACGCTGGAGGACCGCAGCGAGCTCATCTCCTGCATCGAGAGCGGGAACTACGCCAAGGCGGCCAGGATCGCTGCTGGTGAGTCCCGCACGAGCCACCTCCTCTGGCCCCTGCCCCGGCTGGGACATCCAGAGGGTGTCGCGCCGGGACCTGGTGCCTACGGCAGACGCTACGGGTGCCTCTTCTCCCTCAGGAGTGAGGCGGGTGTCAGGGTCAGACGGTCCTGCAGGCAGGGTCCTTGTGGCCACTGGGGAAGTGACGGTTCTGTCTGCAGCGGTCGTGTCTGTGGGGAACAGTCCGCTCCACATGGTTTCTGGGTGCCAGATATTGGAGGCTGTCTGACGTTTGTTTAGGCTCAGCTGTGATTTGCAGCCAAACGGGGCAGCAGGGCTGCTCGCATCCACAGGAGGCTGGGGGTCGGGTGGGGGCCGAGGCTCGGAGTGAGTGACACCCTCGGCTGCGTGCAGAGTGGCCTGGAGACTGGTGGGACCTCGGTTGCCAGGACTTGGTGGGTTGCAAGGCAGTTCTGAGAATCAGGAAAGGCCCCCTGTTGGGCGGGGGTGTGGGGCGGGGGCGGGGGGCAGAGCAGTTGGCACTTTGGAGGGAGCCAGGGCAGTGGTTTTGAATTTGGGGTGTTGGTTGCAGAGATGCACTGAGGGACTGAGCAGGGGAGAGATGTTGGACCTGGTGGTCAGAGGCCCTCGAGCTGGGAGGGTGTGAGAGAGGATCGGGATGTCAGCCGCCCTTGTGACCGTCCTGATAACCACGGGGCTTGCTGCGTGGGGACGACTCGCTCCAGCTGGAGTGGTCTCTTGCGCAGCCGTCTGCCAGTGACTCACGTGTGTCCATCCCTCTCTCCCCAGAAGTGGGTCAGAACAGCATGTGGATCTCAGCCGATGCTGCGGCCTCCGTCCTGGAGCCCCTGAGAGTGGTCTGGGCCAAGTGCAGTGGCTACCCCTCGTACCCCGCCCTGGTGAGCCCGGGTGCTGCCACCCCGCTGGATGGGAGGGGCTGGGCTGTGTGCCCCCAGGTTCAGAGCTGTGGGCGCCCACCCAAGGCCTGCGTGTGGGGTGTTGGGGTTGGTGCAGCTCCTTCAAGGCCACCTTAAGTTGGAGCCCAGGACTCCCTTGGGGGCACAGTGTGATCACTCAGGTGTGTGACCCATATGTCGTCTCCTGGCAGATTATCGACCCGAAGATGCCGCGTGTGCCTGGCCACCACAATGGGGTCACCATCCCGGCCCCGCCGCTGGACGTGCTGAAGGTTGGCGAGCACATGCAGACCAAGGCTGACGAGAAGCTGTTCCTCGTCCTCTTCTTCGACAACAAGAGGAGCTGGTGAGTGCTGGCCGCGCCGGCCGCCCCCTTGCATGTTGCCGTCAAGCCTGCGACTGACCCGTGTTCAGGAACCACGGCCTGGAGTTCTGGGGCTCACGGGATGGGACAAGTGCTGAATCGCGCCAGCCAGGGCCCTGGGTCGCATCTCTTAGCTGTGTGGGGCCACGTAGTCCTCGCCGGAGTCGGGGACCCCGCCTCACAGCACTTGTCACCGCTAGTGCTGGAGCTGATGGTAGCTGCCGGTGGTCCCAGCACACGTCCTGCCCCTCAGAACTGTAGCCCGTCTATGCCCGAGGTGCATGGTGTGCGAGTCCCACGCGGCCTTTTGGTGCCTTTGGAGCTGGCCACGTGGGCGGCTATGTGGGAACCCGCCAGTACGGGCACGTGCAGCTGGATTGGGTGTGTGCATCGCGCTGTTTGGCCCTTGGTAGCCACACAGGAAAGGCGTGGGAGGCTGGCGGGGCCTCTAGGACACTGTGGCCCCTTGGGAGTCGTGGAGGAGAGGAGGTGACAACCTGGTTCTTGGTGCCTTCCTGAGCCCCCGTCCTCCAGGTATGGGCGGGAGAGACAGGCTATGCTCCCCACCTCACGGCCCCAGGCTGACCAGGGCTGGCTTAGCTTCCTGCCTTGGGGGTCTCCCAAGGGGCCCCTGTCCCACCCTGGACCCCGCAGTACCTTTTGTCACCCAGCAGGATCCGAGGTGTCTTAGATCGTTGTGTGAAGCGTGTGGGAGTCCCTGAGCAAGCAGGCCTTACTGTCCCCACCTTCCACCTCCCAACAGGCAGTGGCTACCGAAGTCCAAAATGGTTCCCCTTGGCGTTGACGAGACGATAGACAAGCTGAAGATGATGGAGGGACGGAATTCGAGCATCCGCAAGGCCGTCAGGGTCGCCTTCGACCGTGCCATGAGCCATCTGAGCCGTGTGCATGGCGAGCCGGCTAGCGACCTCAGTGACATCGACTGAGCTCTGCCTGCGACCCATGCACGTGGGTACGCTGTACATGTCTGTATATTGTCAGAACCTAACTTATTCTGGTTTCAGGCACGGCTCTCTAATTCTTTTCCCCGGGAAGGGGAGGTTTTGTTTCCAAGTTTCTACGAAACCCTCCCCGGAGGGGCGCTCTGGATGGCGGAGCGTCCTCCAGGCACAACTGTGCCCGTCACAGGTCACACCCGAGGGTGCTGCTTGCGTCACTTTCTTTGATCCGTAGCTTTTTTTTAAAAGACTTTTGAATGTTTAATAATTTTGTAAATCAGACTCTTTACACAGAGTACCACTTATTTAATAAGACGGGATGTAAATTTACAATGACAAATGTGTATTTTAAGAAAGAAAATGACATTATTTTGAATGGTACTTTGTGGGAAGAGGTGGAGAATAAATTTATGCCGTTTGCATTGCCTGCAAATCACCAAAAACACTCCGTCCCCCGGAGGCCGGTGGGCGTGTCCTCGGGTGTTGCTCCGCCCCCTGGAGGCTGGTGGGCGTGTCCTCGGGTATTGCTGTCCTGTTCTGCCCACGGGTGCCTGCCAGAGGGTTATTTATTGTAGAAAGTGTATCCACTTGCTTTATAATGAAAAATAAATTTGAAAAAGTATATTGATATGCATTTTTATACAGGCACATAAAAGTTCCACTTGCTTTGGGAGCGGGGTATGTTGGTTGTTGTGTAAATGACTCTGGCTGTGTGTTCTTTGATTTTGTAACTTGTCATCTTTTGTTTACAACAGGGGCTTTTCTGTAACTTTTAATTTAGAACTTTGGTAGCAATAGAAACTTTGGATACGTTTTTGTATGGTACATGTGATGTATATAGAATTAGTACTTTATTTTTATTTTTAAGAGGTAAAGCATTATGTTAGGGGAAAGGTAGGGAGGGTTTCCAAAATTGCATTTTTTATATTAAAAAATAAAGTCAAGATTTGGACGGTGTGGCCATTTCATTCCTACATCACTAGAACACTGGTGGGGCGGGCGTCCTGGGGGCTGGTGAGGGCCAGGGTCCCAGCCGGCTTGAGTCGCCAGCTCGAGTCACGTGACATTCTTTCATCTTAAAATTGTCATGGGATGGCATTATTTATTATTTTACCTAATCATATTTTTATTTTAAAGTGGTAGTTTGAAATTTTTCAATGTTTTTTCTTTTCAGTCTCCATTGTTTGTAACATCTCCACAGAAACTTGAAAATAAAATGTCTTCCTTTGATAGTTTTGTCCTGTGCCTGACAGACGCTTTCCATCTGCTGTGGCCCCCAGGACCACTGACCCTCTCTGCTGGCTGGCGAGCCGGGCTATGGTCTCTGTGGGCCTGGCCAGCTGCTGGGGGCCCATGGGCTACAGGAAGGTGACACCACTGTCTGAGAGGGGCTTTGTGTTGGTGGCTTCAGCTGGGGGCCTGTGATAGGCTGCAGGGGAGGGCTTGGGCGTCCCCAGAGCAGGGGAGGTGCTTGGGGCTTCCAGGAGGCTTCTGCCTACCCCACGAGCTGGCACTCCCTCCCCGGGCACTGCTGGGTCATCTCCTGGGAGCAGCCCAAGTCGCACCCACTGCCTGGAAAGGGGGATCTGCTTGTTTATCTAGGACTTGTTGACGTCAGCATGGAATGTCACCCCTTGGCGTCTCCTCTTGTCACCCACCCAGGCAGCACTCAGGCCTGAGGCGGGCCACCTGCGTTCGGGGTGTCCTTTGGCTGTGAGTCATGAGGGGTGTTGGGGTGGGCACCCAGCTCTCACCTGGGTCCCAGGCTCTGGGTGGGGCTGGGTAGGGGGTGAGGTCGGTTGTCTGTGGGCTGCTGTTTGGGGGAGGGGCCAGTCCTGGAAGTCCTCTGGGGGATGGGCTGCAGGGGGTCCTGGGGGGCCCAGCAGAGGTGTTGGGACCCCTCGGGAGGCAGGAGCCTGGGCATGCTCTTGGTGGGGAGCCCAGCCCGGGGAGGCCGCTTCTCCCCTTAACACCAGTGGTCGCTTGAGAGGGAACAGGACCCCTGTGGGTGCGTTGCATTGCCTCTTCTCCCCCACCCCGGCCCCCCCAGGCCGCAGGAGAGAAGCAGAGCACCCACCCAAGCTGTTTATAACCCAGAAGCTCACTTTAAAAATACACCATTTCAATAAAAGCAAAGTATACAGAGCGTGGTCACGACACTCAGTTACCGCTGAGTTACGACGCTCAGTGTGGGCACAATTTCGTGGTTTCTCCGCTGGCCTACACAAGCAACGTGTATTTAAAAGTAAATGCTTTGATATCCTGGAGGGGTATTTTATTTGGTCTTAAAAAGTGATAGAGAGGGCCGGCTGAGTGGCGCGATGGTTAAGAACTGGCTTGGGACGCCAGAGGGCCCCGGTTCGGATCCCACATATGAGGGCCAGTGACACTGCC